ACCCGAAACCCTACACCCCAATGCCCTGACAGAGTTGAAATCTGTTTGGAGCGCCTCAAAGTGCGAGCCATCCTCGGAGAGACGCCAGGCCCTCGGCGATCCGGGTTTCGGGATTTTAGGGTCGATAGGGTCTTAGTCTTTAGGGTTTCAGGGTCTATCAAAAAGTTCACGGCCAATATAGAAGCCTAAATAACTACCAATATTATTTCTTATGGTTCCTTAGTATTATTATTGTACTATAAAGGAGCCCAAAACCCTACTCTAATTATTTAGGCCCCTGCATTAGCTGGAAGCAAGGTCCCTAGTGCCTTGACAGGTGATAAGTACCGGAACTAGATCCTGCTATTTTCCAAGAGCCCTGAACCCAGTGAGCAGTCAAGCAACACTTAGACGTTTAACCCCAGAACACTCACTACAACCTACACCAAATCGTAATATCTACAAACGCAAAACCTAGGACAACCTACCCCAAATCGTAATATTTAAACATGCAAAAACCTAGGACAACCTACCCCAATCGCAAATTCAAAACCTAGGAATGTAGGTTTGGGCTTGTGGGAAGGTGAGGTTTGGGGCTAAAGGTGTAAGGCTATCTGGGGAAGAATCTACATCAGGCCTTGCAGTGGTGATCATATCTGCTCAACATTCCTGAACCCTACAAAAGCCTAATCTATAACCCCCCTATAAAACCTTGATAAACACTTGTGAGGGCCACTGATTTTGCAGGCCTTTCGGGTCGGAGAGCTTCGGGCATACAGGAGCTCAAGATCATGAACATAATGTAGCGGCCTTAATACTTTTAAAAGGGCTTTGGGCTCCTGTATAATATCTTTAATAAGGAACCCGGAATAATATTGCTAATTATTAAGGCCCCTACATTATGAGCCGTCACTGTTGTTGCAACCCTAAACCCTAAACCCTAGACCCTAAACCCTAGACCCCTAAACCCTAAACCCTAAAGGGGCACGTGTCAAGACAGAAGAGCTCGGGCTTGGGTTGCTCGACTCTAGGATCAACCTCACTAGCGTTTAGGGTTTATAGGGATTTAGGGCTTAAGTTTTCGACTCTCACACTCGCACAAGGCCGGCAAGGCTCCGCATAGTTCAGTCTCCACGTTACAAGAATACACGCAGAATGCTCGATAACCACAGTACTTAACAAAAGGTAGTAAAGATAGATTAGCAAAAACGAAAGCGTGGTTCATCAAGCAATCCTGCAGGCTTCGAGCAGCTGCTCGCTGTTTCAAAAGACCATGCTATTCACCAAGTACCAGGCGGTTTCCCAGTCATGCAGGCGGTGGTCATGCACTCAATTAACATGCTCTCTCAGTTGGTCTCATTCACAAAGCTGCCTCAGACCAACCATGCCTCGACCCAATAGCGGGTTTGCAGAGATTCGTCACGGCATCAAATTCAGAAATATCATGCAGAATGTTCATGCTGCTGTGTCACCATGTCTCATTCACAATGCCAGAATTCCGCGAAACTCCAAGTTCGATAAATTCTTGAATTCACTTGCAGTCCGTCATCCGTATCATGTGCTGGTGCGACAGCCTCTAAAGCCTTGAGCACTCCAGCCGAAAACAGGTGAGCGTTGATCGGTCTAACAGCGTCTGGCATCAACAGAAGGACTGCGTTCAGCTCATGCCCGTAAGTTTTAGGATTTCGGGCTTTAGGGTTTAGGGTTTAGAATTTAGGGCTTTAGGGCTTTTAGGGTTTAGGATTTAGGGTTTTAGGGTTTTCGGGTTTTAAGGTTTAGGGTTTAGGGCATGGGGGACCACTGTACTCAAGGCACCCGGAAGCTGGCGATCCCACCAAACTCTAGGAGCCCTTCAACAGTCTCCGAAGCCAAAGAGTCCCTGAACATAACCCTAAACCCTAAACCCTAAACCCTAAACCCTAAACCCTAAACCTTCCCGAAACCCAAAGAGTCCTTCAACTACTTAAAGGATCATGGGACTTAGTAAGTAGGGCTATAATTAAGGTAGCTATACTTATATTTACTTATCACCCCACTTAAGGGACTTATAGCCTTACTTACTAAGTCCCATGATCCTCCAAGTATGGTCCTAATTTTGTAGATCTCCGTTTGGGGCTCGTAGCCTTTGCACGCAGCTCGGGCTTTCTGGACTTTCAGGGGACCGTTGACCGTGAGAAAAGCCATAACAAGTCGAACCCTTCCTCAAGTCAGTCTTGCTTATATGCTTTTAGGGGGGGCCCTATTTAAACCCTAAACCCCTAAACCCCGTTAACTCCAAAGTTGGACCCCACATGCTCCTTCTCATGCACTGGGGCGAGGGCGGAGACATGTCGCCTTCGCCTTCAACCTGGGAAGTACCGGATAAGGATATAATATAGGGGCCTAGAACAGGGCCTCAGGGTTTAGGGTTTGGGGTTTAGGGTTAGGGTTTGGGGAGCACCATAGAATAGTGGTTGTATTGCGGCCCGAAACGTCCAGGTGAGGCGTGAGGGAAATTTGCAAAAGTCGAGCTGTTCATCTTTCCCGACCGCACACAACTATGCCTCCAATGCAGACGCTAACGCCCACACAAGCTAAAGATCCCTAAACCTCGCCGTACCCTACAGTGAATCCCAGAAAGTTGGAACATGGGTTTAACAGGATTAGTGCTAGGATCCCTGATGCTTTACCTTAAGGGCATGAGGATAGTCATGTTCCAACCTTCGGGCTTCTACTAAAAACCCCCCCGAGGCATTTTGTGAAACCCGAGGCTTGAGCGACGTCGGCTGGCAGCTGAGGCTTGTGATTGAAGATGTCCTGAGCTGATGGCCGTCGGCCCTTCGTGCAAGCTTTGGAGTCCTTGCTAGAAAAAGTGTCGTCGCAGTGGGGATGCCTGAACCTGGTCCTGGTAGTGACTTTTAGGGACTATATCAGAGCTCGCTTGTTGTAAAAAAATACCGGCAAGCTCGGATTCAGCATTCAGCGACCTAGGTTTGCCGTGGGGTGAGATACATCTCCTGCATGGAGCAGTACCCTGAGCCCCCAACTTTTCAAACCCGTCGTCGTCCCCATAGAATCCCTTTTTGCTGCCGGAAAATATCACCAAAATCCCTACTCTGATGGTTCGTTTAAGCTAAGGGCTCGTATTTGATCTCGGGACAACCAGCACGAGGGACAAGGAGGGCAGGGACCACTCTTTCGGCAAGCAAACTTCAGGTCTCAGATACAAGAAAGCAAGACTAGTGTAGGGGCCTTTAATAGTTAGAATATCGCTTTCGGGTATATTATACTATAGTCCTACTCAGGAACCCTAAGGAATAGTATAGGTATTTATTTAGGCCCCTCTATTAGCACAAGCACGGGTCCAAAGCCATCATTGCAGATCTCTTGGCATATCAGCCATCATCCTCATCATCGCCATCGCCATCACCATTTTCGTCGCCAGCCATCGCCACCGCTCATGCCATAACCACCAGTGAATGCTCCGCATTGGTCCGGGCACTCACAACGTGCGACGTAAGGGTTCCAGGCTAGCCTGAACCTTCAATCACTGAGAGTAAGCGACTGAGCTGTCCAGTTTTACAGGGGCTCTGCAGGAGCTGTTCGGATAGATAGTCCTACTTGCTGATGCACGTCTGAAAAGTCTGAAAGCCTCGTTTGCTCTGGGCCGAGCTGCTGCCAAGGGAACCATAGCGCGGACCTGCTTCTTCGGATTTCAGGGGAACACACTCGAACAAAACACCTTAAACCGCCTGAATACACAGACTCCCTTGGTTTTTACCGCGGACACTTTTTCGTTAGGAGAAAACAGCCGGTGGCTTCTAGGACTACAAGCTGCAAAGCCACCACCGAATGTCGAAACAAAAGGTCGTGGCGAAGAGCTCTTCACCCCGCACAGCTCTTCTTGACTCCTCTTGCTTCCGCATGTACACCCTCTACCTACATCCTCAAAACGAATGTGGGGCCGAAGAACCCGGAACCTCTTCAGGCACAAACAACTCGGCGGCAGACTGAAACGAGAACCAGGCGACATCTATGCCTTGCGGAATAGAACACACCTCGATAAGACATGGCGAGGCTGCCACAAGCTGAAACGCTCGACGTATGACCCCAATATTCCCAGGCTTGTTCTTGATCCTCAGGGCGGGCGAGGGAAGGCAGGGGTGGCATTTATCAGAACCCTCCCACACTTTGCTCGCCTGGAACCTGGGACGGATGCACCTCCTCAGCGGCAAAGGAACGGGAAATCACAGCGCCAACGGCCCAGCCTTGCACAATTATGGAGTTGCTTTGGCAATATGCTTACTTTGTAGCCAACTCTGCTACTTGCCATGTGCTGCAATCATGTCTTTGGGCCAAGGCAACTCTAAGGATCTTTGCTGCAACTTATCGCAATTGTTGTTTGGGCAAGTACGACATCATCAGTGTTGCGCACAACAAGCAGCACTCCTGAGAAAACCTCCCTTCAAGCTATAAGTTCACTCCTGCAGACACCTTGTACAACCTCATGCTGTCTGGAATTCGAGGGACTGAACCTCTGCAACGTTCTTCAAGTACGTTAAAGGCTCCTTAAGCTAATGTAAGGGCCTTAATGACTAGAACGAGGTTTTGGGGTATACTATACTATAAACATAATAAGGACACCCACCAAAATAGTATTAGTAACTACTCAGGCCCCCTTATAGTAGACTCTGCGCGCCAGGGGAGTGGCGAGCTCGCTCTTCCGACACATCGGCGACCTGCGCGACCTCCAGCTCACCGGCTTGGCACTGTGGTCTTAATTTATAGGGGCTTGAATAATTAGAATAGGCTTCTGGGCCCCAATATACTATAAGTATGGTAAGGATCCCTCAATGTAGTATTAATTATAATAAGGAACCCTCAAAGTCGTATTAAATATAATAAGGAACCATAGTATTGGTAATTATTTAGGCCCCTACCTTAGACTCGTGGCAGTTGTGCGAAACGGCCCTGTAGTTTGGGACGAGCCAAGAGTCGAACCCGAAACTTGCAACATCGTTCTACCCATGCCAAAAGATGTATGGGTACTTCTCTAAATGAGGGTCCCTTTGAGGGTCCTTTTTAATAAGGGTGCCGTACATAATGGGGATCTAAGAATGGACCCTACATTTAGAGAACTGCCCATATGGAATCTCAGCACTCACCATGCCTATCCCGTGGTCCCACTTTACGGGGACGGCCCTATGCTCAACCTTCTACTTGCTGAGTTTGAAGCCCATCGTGCCGACTCTTTGATCTGATGGCTGTAGGCCTCCATCTGTTCCACCTCCGTGGGCAGAGTTTGCAACCTAGACTTGGAGGACTGCTCTGAACCCTACACTCCTAGACCCCCAAAAAGCCCGCTCTATGGAACAAATGTGGGTAGTTCGGGCCCCTCTGCTCTTGGTGCAGACGTGTGAAGGTTGGGCCTCAGCAAGCACGGCAAAATTGGATAAGAACACACGTTCCAAGTGATTTTTTCACAGACCCCCAAAGCGCTCGATTTTTCCATCTGCTCTGAACCCTTTAGGTTTCGGGTTTGCAAAGAATGAGCACGTCTAAAGCATATGACAATGGAGGCAGGCAAACAGTTTGCACACACCTTCTGAAACCATCCCTTTGACAGAGAATGCTGTAACATGCAGGGCTCAGAGCTTCCCTTGTTTCGGCTTAGGGTTTAGGGTCCTTGAAGCAGCTGTGTATCGGCTGTCGGCAGCCCATAATCATCAAACTCCCCAAGCCCTGAAACCCTGGGGCAGATCCAGGTCGGAAGCATACAAAAGGCCTCCGACTAAGACTCCGAACCCTGAATCCAAAGACAAGCTACCGAAGGCTACTCAAGGTCTAGGGGGGTTAGTATCTGTAGGAGTCTCTACAACACTCAAGCCTAAACCCCTAAAACCGTCGTAGTTGCTACCACTCCTTTGAGGAGGAGACTCAGCGCGCAGCTGTTGCCGGCCAACGGAGGGAGCTAAGAACCTCCTTCAAAGAGGGTTTGGGGCTTAAAGACAGGAAACAGCGTTGTAAGGCTTCTGTCGCACGCTAGGGTTCGGAGTGGCGGGGGCTTATAGACCATGGGGTTCAGAGTTTTGGGTTTAGTGTTTATATTATTTCACCAGAAGCTTCGAGAAGGATGTAAACGGCGGAGGAGTTCCCAGAAGCGAAAATGTAGGCTAGGTTGGAGTTATATAAGTCTTTCCCTAAAAACGGTCAATGCAATCTGCTCGGGACCTTCATAAAATGCCTCCGCTGGTTTAAGGTTCCTGGCCGCTCTACCCTTCAAGCCTTCACCCTACGGGCCTGAATAATTAGAATAGGGTTTTGGTGTCCCGTATAGTCTATTTATTATAAGGAACCCCAAAATAGTATAGGTAATTATTAAGCCCCTATATTGTTAGTACGAACACGCTTCATCGCAGGGTTGCCGGCGTCCTGTGGCCAGAACCTTGGCACAAATGGGCCGACATCAAAGACTCCGCACTCTGTAACCTGCTATAAGATCACATCGTGTGATACCGTAAAAGAAGCAGGGAAGGGAGTGATAATAGCTGAGTAGTATGCTTCACCACACCGGAGTCTTGGCCCTCCCTATCGTATGTTCAGCCGCATAGCTGAAGAACGGCTAAGAACAGGTAACAACAGTCCTCTCAAACACGCCTGGCCGAAATGGGGGTCCCTTTTCGCTCCTTCATACACTGATGTAATCATACATTATAGTAACAACAGTACCGAAGAGTTAGTGAGTGCGAATGCAAGCGAATGAACATGTACGTGTCTTCTGTGTCTGCCAACCATGAGGCGACGTGTTCACAGACAGAATCTGCATACATATGGGGGTTTCCGAAAATAGGGGACCCTAATATAGCACCCTAGATAGTAGGATCCTTATTATAAGGACCCCAGCATAAGGTAACCTAATTCTCGGAAACTCCCATGTATCTTAGCGGAGGCTTGATTTCTGCAACATTGCCGTGCCTCTTTGACTCCCACAAGCAAGAGAAGAGAGTGCACTTGTTGCTTTTCCTCCGCTGCCGAAGCGCTCATCCAGGCGGACTCTGGACCTGGTGACATATTATATATATATATATAAAGTATTAATTCTTCTTCGTATTCTGATTATTCGCTACCACCTGGAGTAACTTCAAGAGCTTTAACGGTTCCTGTAAGGGCTCCTACGACGTGACGGAAACAGACACGAAATTGGCAGCTTCAGTCGTTTTTCCAAGTTCAACGAGTTGGCGGCCCGACTCTCAAAGCTGCAGCCACCAGACGAAGTCCTCAGCTTGCATGCAATCTGCCGATCTGTCTGTGTCTGCAGGGAAGCTGTGGACATGTAGCTGCAAAAGCTCCACCGCATGCTATCCACCAATGCTACAGTAAACCGTGTGCTTGCCACGTCATTGTCGGTCACTCTTAGTCTTGCTTTGCCCTGAAGAGTCCTCGCATCCATGTCCTGCACATTGACTTCTAAGCTATGGCATTGCTTGTAGATTCGTGCCACGCTCAACGAACCTTCACTTTCGAACCCCAAATCCACGCAAAGCAAACCGGCAGGGCGAGCGTCGTGACTGAAGTGGATCGTCTCGGGCACTTCGCCTGTTGCCAGAACCTCCACCAACGCCTCGGACAAGTCATCGGGATCCAGGAGTTTTACCATGCCCAGTGGGTCCATGTACCTAAATGGTATATACATTGGCCCTAAAGTACCTATATAGGGACTACATTAAGGCCAATGTATAGACTATTTGGGCACATGGACCCTTAGGGAAAAGTACAGGAGCGAAAGCCCTAAAATCCCAGAGTCGGGTTGCCTCAAACCCTAAACCCAAAGCCCTAAAACCCTAAACCAACCCTAAACCCTAAAACCTTAAACCCTAAGCCCTAAAACCTTCAACCCTAAACCCTAAAACCCTAAAGCCTGGGGAGCTTCAGGGATCTTGGAGCCATCCCTAAAGCTCCACAAAAGCCCCTCAAGCTCCCGCCAAGAAAAACAAAGAAGGTTTTAGGGTTTCAGGGTTTAGGGTTTTAGGGTTTTTGGGTTTTCAGGGTTTAGGGTTTTAGGGTTTTCGGCACTAAGCCCTACGACCCCAATACCCCTGATCCCCCCGTCACAAGCCTTAGCCTCAGTGTAAACCCTAAACCCTAAACCCAGAAACTCCAAAATCCTAAAGCCCGAGTCTACTGTAGCCTCCAGGTCACGTGTCCTACCCTGAGGGTCCATGTACCCAAATAGTGTATACATTGGCCCCAAAGTACTTCTATAGGGACTACTTTAAGGCCAAAGTCTATTTATTTGGGTACATGGACCCTTAGGGCTACGTAGGGCTCCAGATGCCTAATCATCATCGTTTCGCTTTCGAAGGGCTTTTTCTGTGTTTTATGGCTTCTGCTAGTCAATTTCAGGCCTTTGCGGGTTTAGGGTTTAGGGTTTAGGGGTTTAGGGTTTAGGGTTTAGAATAGTCGGGCATTATTTTGGCTCTCCTTGAAGTCACAACTTGACGTCTGGCACTGTTCACTCTCATGCCTAAGCCCAACATGGGGTATTCCGAAAATAGGGGACCCTACTATAGTACCCTAAATAGTAGGATCCTTATTATAACGACCCCCAAAGAAGGTACCCCTAATTTTCGGAAACTCCCAGCATCTTCAAGCTGACTTCCGGCCCCTGGTATCGAAACCTAAAGGTCCCTTATAAGCTCTCCACGCCTATAGGGTCGAGGGTTGGACCCTTAACCCTAAACAAATGGGAGTTTCCCAAAAACTAGGGTACCTTATTTGGGGGGTCCTTATAATAAGGATCCTATTATTTGGGGTACTATATTAGGGTCCCCTATTTTCAGAAACCCCCTTATAAGCTCTCAGGAGGGTTGGACGATTAACTCTAAACAAATAAACCCTAAACCCAACCACACAGATCTTAGCAGGTGTGAATACACTGCTGGACGTCATGCCCTACATCGCCATGAGTTCGGGGCGCATGATCTCCTCGCGTGGGCGCAGCAGGACTTCAGAAGGCTAACAATTTCGAGTTTGGGGCACAACAGGTTGTTTAAGGATTAGGGCTTAGAAAGGTTACTTTAGGGCTTTGGCTCTCACGGTTGTGATGTTGAGGGGGTTATAGAGTCCACTCTAGTGCTTCGAACCTATAATGATATTACAACGCCAACCCTCAGCCCTCAAGCTTGAGACCTAAAACTTGAACGTCTACTCCCTACACCCCTAAAACCAATAAGCCTTCTAGAGCCCTGTTACAAGCGCAAAGGAATCCTGCACAGAACCTGCACATGAGGGAACCCCTGACAGTCTCGAGAGCCGGAACTGTGAGTGAAGATGTTTTTTTGGCTATAAACCTTACACCCTAAACCCGAATTAAAACCCTAAACCCTAGAAGTCCAACACCCTAAGCCTTAGGCCCTAGTTGTGGCCCAAAAGACCTTTTTTTTAAACCATAATAAGAACCGTAAAAAGGTAGGCCTTTTCGGCTGCAAGTAAGTTCCTAAACCCTAGGCCACTAACCCTGAACCCTAATTAAATCCGAAGCCCCTGAACCCTAAATCATATACAGTAAACCCTGAGCCCGATGAAGGACGTTTGATCACTCTGCAGACGGCTATGGCCGTGGCGAAGGCATTTTCAGCGTCTTATTTGAGCCCGTGCCTGGGCATCGGTCTATGACAATAAGGGTCCATGTGCCCAAACAGAGCTCCTTTACCCTTAGCATCGAAATAGCCCAAAAGCCTTATGCGGGTCTTTGGGCCCAAAAGCCTTAAAATATGAGTCCTTTGAGGGTAAGGGTTATAATGATTCCTTTAAGGGTACCAGAAGTGCACCTGTAAGGCTGCAAGGGTTCGAAAGCATCCATCCCTTCGATTCCCTTTCTGCCCAGGTAGCATATACTTTGTCAATAATCTAGTCCCTGTTTGGGTATATCTTGGGGCCTTAGGGTTTTTGGGGTTTAGGGTTTAGGGTTTAGGTTTAATAAAAAGGGGCCTTACCCATAGGCCCGAAAGTAGTTCTTGTTTGGGGCTTCATATATAGAATCCTATAAGGTAACCCCAAAAAGGAACTACTATGGGGCCTATGGGGGTAGTCCCTACTTGGGTATATCTTGGGGCCACAGTATCTGCTATTTGGGTACATGGACCCATAGGGGCATGATCATAGGGGTCTAACAGGGTTCTGGGATGTAGGTGTCTGAGTATTTTAATACAGTTTTACAGTCGCTGACTCACGTCCCCTGCTAGTCACTTGTGGTATTTTTAGGCCCCAGAACTCTGA